GCTGGAGTTCCAGGAGTCCTCGAGGACGGAGGGGGCCCCTCATTCCCCTCACTAGATCTTGAGACCATTGCCGGAGATTTCAGAGGTTGATACCCCTTTGTATTTAGTCTCCGCGGTTGTCTCGGACCAGCTGGTCTCGGATGGAAAATGATCGATAAAGAAAAGGCAGGAGCCAGGGGTCGGTCGGATCAATCATGTCAGCACGGTCTGCCATGGGAAGAAGATTGTTAGTAAAGTAATATAGCTGGTACAAGAGAAGAATATGTCGGAAAAAAAATCCCCCTCATCATCAAAATGGCATGATGAGAACTTTACGAAACATACAGGGGGCCTTCTTGCTCTCACGGTCATCGATATGCGCTGAGCATACACGCGTCCCTACACATGCACATCAGAGGCCTGCTTCTGAACTGCTAAGTTTGCCTTCTCATTAGTTGAACTTATCGCAAAAGAAATCATAAGCTGATGATGGACTAAGGAAATCATACTTACTGCTGTGTTCGCCGTTGCAGAAAAAGTAAAAAGCAATGTTTTGAACTTTTACTTCTCCACAAGGGTCAGCTCCCGTTCGGACCATGACGCAGCGACCGGCTCCTTCAGTATCTCCGATCAGCCTTATCAGAGCCGATCTTACGATCTTGACAGTCTAACGAGATCACTCGGTATCCTGCGCAAGCTAACCATCTTTACAGGTGAGGGACTAATCTTCTTTATTGTTTGCATTGTCTTTTCTTGCCCAAAACGCCATCGCAATGAAGTCTTCTCACTTGCTGGACATGATGTTTGACTAGTTTATCTACATGACATGGTAATATTTCCAAATGCTCTGGAAAAGAGGGTATCTCAAATCACTATGCTTCTAACGACCCCGATATATTCCCTGCACTGTTGCGCGCTTCACGCAAGAGACGGTGAACGTCTGATACAAGGTACAGGCTTCCTGCAATTACCAAGGGGCAGTCGCCAGCCTCGGTACAAGCCCAGTTGATGGCAGCAACAACGTCACCGCCAAATGTCCGTATGTCTTGGACACCTGTAATTGATCGGATACAGAGAGCCAATTCTTCTGTATCGGCTGCTTTCACCCATGGCATTCCATCGACAGGACCGAATGCCGTGATAGCGACCTTATCTCCAGATTTGATTATCGAATGGAAAAGCGCGGTCACATCCTTCCCACGCGACGCTGCAATGACCCAAGTGATGCTACCCTGAGGACGCAAATTTTTGTCCACGTACTCTCCGAGAACCTCAGCCGACTGGCTATTATGCGCCCCGTCGAGCAAGACAGGCTCTTTGCGGGCGGTAAGAGGACTGAGGGAAATTTTCTGCAAACGTCCTGGCCACTCTACGTTTTTGAGGGAAGGCAGAAGTGTGTCCACTTCGACCTCTGGGCGAACCTTCCATAGGGCGAGCCGGAGCGCTGACACCGCACAGGACATATTAGCCCGTTGATGACGCTGTAGATCAAGCTCCCTGAAGATACAGCCCAGCAATGGTGACTGGGAGCATATCGTATCAGGATGCGCGTAGACAGCATGGATCTTCAACTCGTTAACACGATCTTCAAGGGTCCTAATCACTTCGGGAGCGTTGGTGCCGTCAACCACACATGGAACACCAGGCTTCAATATCCCGGCCTTCTCGCGAGTGATTAGTTCTAGCGTATCCCCCAGGAAGGCCTGATGATCAAGCCCAATTTTCGCAATGACCGACACCAAAACATCGCTCAGCACATTCGTAGCATCCAAGCGACCTCCCATTCCCACCTCGACCACGCCAACCTCGACGTGTTCATGATTGAAGATCTCAAATGCCGTGGCGGTGAGCAGCTCAAACTCACTTGCTCCTATTCCCAGTGATTGATCCCTTAATCTGACTCTCTCCTCGATTTGGCGAAAAAGAGACTCCTGGACAACGCTCTCACCTATGGTGATGCAGTCCCATCGATCGATGAGATGAGGAGAAGTAAAGCGACCGCAGCGTACACCACCCGCAGTCAACATGTGCGACAAATAGGCACTAATGGAGCCTTTGCCATTGGTTCCAGCTATGTGGATGGCCTTCCATGACAGAGGAGTCTGCTGGAGGAGACTAGATATGCGACCAAGGCCGAGCTCAATCATTCCTTCGATCGTGTGACGTCTGAAGTTTATCAGAAACAATCCTCATGATCAAGAATGATTCCGGAAATGATTAGGCACTCATGGAGTCAATCAGACTAGCTCAGAACCAAGGTCTAAAATATGGTAAAAGAAATTGACATGAAATTGCTCAAGATGAGTCGTGCAGATCTTTGCAACTTTCCGATCAATTTCGGCTGACTTAAAGTATCGGAGGCCGGTTGGCATTTGACAGACAGATGATAAGGATCGGATGCCTGAGCCCTGAGGCATCAGGGAGTTTCCCGAAAAGATGGGGCCTTAGCCGCTGAACTTCCCCTAAGGGAAACTCCGCATGCTCCGTACTGCATTATACGCACAGTTTTGTAGTTTTCTCAGCGCCACATCCCAGCCTCCTTATGTCCCACAGTCGCAGCCTCAGGCGCGAATCTCTTTGCCTCCGCTTCCGTGTTGGAGCAAAACTGAATCTTGCCGCTGTCTCCATTAATTAGTCCAAACTACGGAGGGCCTAACTTTACCCTGTACTCCGTTATCTGTACAAGGGCAGGCCATAATCGTTCTTGCGCTCCCCCTCCGCAGACGTCGCGCTTTTTTTTCTGAATAAACCGCGACCTCGTGGCCGTGACTCTCGTTTTTAAGGGCAGTTTTGATGGGATTTACCTGAGGTTTATCTGCTAAATCCGCGTACACTTCCAGTCATGGGTATCCCGTAAGTTTGACTAGTATTTTGATTTTCAACGCGCTCTGGGGCTGTAGCCTGCCGGCGCATGGGACAGCGACCCTTACTGATATGCGCGCGCAGAATGTACCGTGAGCCCTCCCCTGAGGCCAGCAAGAACAAACCCATTAAAGATCCTTCCGCGGCTGCGCGTTCTGCAATCCGTCGCCAGGCCACTATTCGTCGCCCTTCACGTCATAGTACTTCCACCTTACGAGGCGCTTCGTTACGTTCCCCCTTCCCTCGTGAGATCGTAGACGAGATTGAGCGCGAGGCACATGGATTACAGCAGCCCATTCGGTCTCCTGTCCCGAATACTACCTCCGGTGAAGATCCGTTCGATTTGAGTTCCATGATCATCGATGCCAACAGGCGCGAGGCTGGTCAACGCTTGCTGCACGAAGCGCTTCGCCATGGACGTCCCGGCCAGCGATTGAGGATTCCGCGCAATACTTTCAATTCAGATTCGTATCGCCTCCCTTCACCAGGGGTTGACTCTGGCCGCCGACAGAGCTCAGAGCATACTGCCGCCTTTACGCCAAGTTTTGCGCCTGCTATTTCATACCACAGAAGAATATCCCCGCCGCCCCAGACGCGCCCAAGCCTTTCATCTTTCCCCCCAGACGGCTTTGAGGTCGTTGGGTCGACCGTACCCCTGCTAAGGCGAGTTGGTCGGCGGTCTGTCAACGAGGCGAACCGGACAATGCATCGCGACATGACTGTTGATGGTCTCGGTGATCGTCAGCGCAGCATGAGTCCAGATGATGACGCTTCGAATGACGCGTGGGAAACCCTTTTGACTACAATTACGCCCGATGACAATCTTCCTAGCGCCGATTCTTCTTTTGCTTCAGCGTCGGCATCCGGACTGAATGCATCATCGAGCACGGGTTCAAGAAATCCAGGAAGCTCTTCTCAGACACTTCCTAGCTCCCTCGATTCAAGTACAGCAACGGTGCGGATGGTGCTCGATCCGTACCCAGAATATATCAATCCATGTGACTATCCTAGTTCCACAGATTCTGATTCTGCATCGGAAGGAGATTTTAATCAGCTCTCTTTGTGGCGGCGGTACCGTCGCCGAATGCACCAAATGGGTACTTCCAGACGCTCATATGACATGCACTCAACAATGAGTAGCCATCCTCCTATTCCCACAATCTCATTCGCCTTCTCCAACTCTTCTACCGATCCAGAACTCCAGCAGATGCAGGCGATACTGGATCGGCTTGCTCGTAGGGAGGTCATACCTGATGACTGGTGGGCAGCAGCTGGACTGTCTCCCGCCATTGGCCACAGGCTTGGCACAAACAACGGTTCCAATGACAGGGAAACTACGGATGCATCGGCTAGGCCGTTATGAAAATGCTTATCTGATCTTCTGGCCTGTGATATGATTATTCCTGTTTCTTGTTTGCCGATCAGGGGCAATTGCTCGGGGTGGTTCCGGTCTCAGCGAGAAGGATGATGGGCGTTCCTGGGTTTCCAAAGCTGGTTTGGTTTTCAATAGCTCGAGTGAGCGGAGCTCTTTGCTTTGGGTGTTGCTTGAGAGTACGCCTATAAACGTGTCAGAATATCTGTGCACATATGCCCCAGTTGTTACTGGTTAGGTGTTTAAGAACAGTGATTTGCCCGATAAAAACAGCGTGTCGTCTAGTTCGGTGACTCAGGTATCTATTGTCTGAAATCAAGCTGGGACCTTAAAGACGTGCATGGCTAGTTCTCATGTTCCTTGAGGTTGAAGATCGCTCATTTAGCAAATTTGAAGCTCGGAAATTCGGTCACCGATCACAGATCATAGTATGCAACCTTGACTGAATTCAATCAGGAAAATAGCTCATTCATTTAGTCTTCCATCTTTGTAGGTAACTCCACCAGCGATGATGTCCGTTAGAAAGCCGTCAACGGAGTCCTCTTGTGACGTAGCTGGAGTTTCCGCTGTTGCAAAGAGATAACCCCACTCCAACGACCGAGCCCCGCCGATTGCGTTTATTTATTTGAATCGTTAGCTTCCCTAAGCTGCGATCAATCGCTATTTTGACATATATATGCTTCTGTGTCGTGTTAGAACTTAACATAGAAGCACCTCTTGAGAGCAATCGTATTCTATCGATTGCATTTTTCAATACCCCGATACTCGATCCTCGACCTTTCTCAGCATGGAGGAGCAAGTAGACAGGCTAGTGGATAAAGTATGGGGTGAGTTTGCTCAGCTGCATTTGATATTTGATAGCGCATACATCTCCCATGTCATATGCCAAACATTAATAAGCTCTGTAACATGTAACTAACTACCTATGTCACAGAGAAGTTCCACTCTTTACCAGAAAATGGTCGCTTGATGATTGCTATCAGTGGCATTCCAGGTTCTGGGAAGACAGGGCTCGCCAGTATTATGGCCAATCGCATCAACCAGCTCTACTCAAAACAATATGCAAATCAGCCGTCCATAGCGGCAGACATCCCTATGGATGGCTATCACCTCACACGAGCACAACTGGCTCAAATGCCGGATCCAGACTACGCTGCTGCGCGACGTGGTGCGGCTTTCACCTTTGACGGCGAGAAGTTTCTGAGGCTAGTGCAGGCACTGAGGGAGCCGATAACATCGGAGGCGCACATATTGTACGCTCCAAGCTTCGATCATGCGGTCAAGGATCCGGTTGATGACGATATACCTATTGCCCCGACAAGCAGGATAATATTCTTCGAGGGGAACTACCTCAGTTTGAACAAGGAACCGTGGAGCTCTGCGGCAAAGCTCATGGATGAGCTATGGTTCGTTGAGGTTGATTTTGAGACTGCCCGGAAGAGGCTGGTCCGGCGACATGTTCAAGCGGGGATCGCAAAGGATGAAGCTGAGGCGGACAAACGGGCGATGGAGAACGATCTCGTCAACGGACGGGAGATTGTGGATAACAGGATGGATGTTCAAGAGATTATTACCAGTTACTACGATACCCGGTGGGATAGGTGATTACCCTATCGTTCTCGATAGATGGTCGTGTTTCGTTCTGGGTGTTTCGACCATATACAACCACCACTTGATGACTCTTTATGACCTCTGGGTCCCTATCCATTTGCATTATGACTTGCGCGCTGGGAGCCGTAAACTACCTATTTAGGCCAGCCTCCTGAAAAGATATATGAAAGCAGTAACGCTCACCACCCTAGACACCGAATCGACACCAGTAAGACACGTAGGTAGGCCTCTAAGGTACTAAGGTATAAGGGACTGGGTACGGAGTATAGAGCCATATTACATCAGCTTGACTCCCGCAGATGCTCCACCAATCGTGTCCCAGCTCTCTAACCACATCCAGGATTAGTGCCGTATGGTAAGATTGGCTTGGGCAACAAAGTACCTAGGTTGCTCAGGGACAATTGATCGGCAGGGTCATAACTGTATTGAGACACAGGGCGCTCCGCGAAGGTCGTTTGCCCCCTAAGATTCCCGCTTTGCTTAACTGATGATGATTCTGCTTTGAGATGATTATCTGTTCTACTGATCGTTGTCTGTCGCTCTTTACGCAGGCATTCATTTGATTCACACTCTTTCAAACATACACTCTTTTCAATAGAGTCATCCAGTCGCTCTTTGTTTACAATATTGTCACTCATTCACCTTACCATATTTGCTTCTACGACTCTTTCACTCCTAATCGAATAACTCGTATTGATACGTTTGTCCGAAGTCTCGACGCTCCACCATCAAAATGTTCTTCTCGAAGTCTACTCTTGTGCTCTCTTTCCTGGCACTGGGCAACATTGTCGCTGCTGCGCAGACACCTGCCTGCCTTCTCTCGGTTGTAGGGTACGCTTGATGCGATTCTTGAAATGTGACATTGGCAAAGGGAGCATTAGCTGATACCTCCGACAACAGAGCCGAGAAGAATCCCGCCGACCTCAAGGCTGTCTGTATTACGAATGGCGATGCTGTGCAGAAAAAGATCGCGGATACCTGTGGTGATAGTGAGCAAGCAGCCCTGAAGTGGTTCGCTGATACCTGCGACGCTGCAGGCCACAAAGTTGGTATGTTCTCCTAGGCGCGTCGTCTGATGAAGTGGCCACATCATTAACCACACATTTTTAAGTTATCAAATCCTCTACGACTTCCTCGGAATCTGCTACCGGTACTTCGACTAAGGGCTCGGCATCTAACACCGGTTTCGTCACTGCTACTGCGACTGGCTCTTCTAGCTCTGGGGGCAGCAAATCCGGAACTTCTAGCTCCAGCGCTGCGTCGACTTCCCAGACTGTCTCAGCTGGCTCGTCTGATCGACAGGTCTCTGCAGCGGCCTTTGCGGCTGTCGTCTTCTTCGGCTTTGCTGCGTCCTTGTAGAGGTGTGATCTGTAAGAAATGTTTATCTGATCGACAGTTGCACTGCGACATTTGTGAATCGTCTTATTGCTTCACTTTCGTTCTGTCTATTCTTAGGTCGAGTCATGGATTGACTCTGACCTGTCTCATAGAAGAATACACATATCTGTACAAACAGAGATTATTCCTTGTCCTCCGTAAAACACATCCTGCATGATCTGATATTTCGATGAAGTATCATCGAAACCGAGTCGTATTTCGTGGTGTCAATAAGGGAGCCTTGCAGTCACAAATAAACAAGCAATCCCGCACTAGATCACGTGACTGCGCTTCTGCGCGTTCCCGGCCCACCGTAGTTCTGACAAATCTGGGATTGATTACAAAGGATGCAGTATCTTCAAGGGGATACCATTTAGTCCAAACACGAAAATTCGCGTCAATACCCAGAAGGGTACGCGTTCGCCCTGGCGACATATCAAATACCTCTGCCCCTCCGACTTCTTTTTCCTCTCATGTCTCCCTTCAGTCCCTTTACTCAACATCCTTCCCTTAGATTACGACACCTTCATTCTTTTCTTCATCCTTTAGATTCAACAGTTAGCATTCGAGTACCTTCCTGACCTCGTGATATACCATTATACCCCGTTGCACCTTTGTTCGTTCGTCACCCTCGACCTTGAGTCCTCTAATATCAGTCACAATGTTTGTCTACAAGAGAGGTAAGGATTGGATGATCCAGATTCATATTCTTTTTTTACCCTAGTTCACGACAAGAAGTCTTCGACTCTTCCTGGCGGGCTGGTTCCTTGCCACTGGACATCGGACTCTTACTGACATGCGAAATCTTCAGACGGACGCAAAGAACGCGTACAGTTCGACAAGATCACTGCACGTGTATCAAGACTGTGCTATGGCCTTGATCCAGAACACGTCGATGCTGCTGCTATCACGCAGAAGGTCATCTCTGGTGTCTACCAGGGTGTCACCACTGTTGAGCTGGATAATTTGGTATGCCTTGTAACCATTAAAATGATGGAAGACAGCTGCTTATTTGTCGTTCCTTACAGGCTGCTGAGACTGCTGCGTACATGACCGTCACTCACCCCGATTATGCCATCCTAGCTGCCCGTATAGCCGTTTCCAACCTCCACAAGCAAACCAAGAAGCAGTTCTCGCTGGTCATCTCAGATCTCTTCCACTATGTCAACCCCAAGAACAAGCAACCCGCGCCAATGATATCGAAAGAGACGTATGAAATTGTCATGAAACATGCCGATGAGCTCAACTCTGCTATTGTATACGATCGTGACTTCAACTACAACTTTTTCGGCTTCAAGACACTTGAGCGTTCCTACCTGCTGCGAATCAACGGCAAGGTTGCTGAGCGTCCCCAGCACTTGTTGATGCGTGTTGCCGTCGGTATTCACGGTAACAACATTGAAAAGGCCATTGAGACCTACCATCTCATGTCCCAGAAATACTTCACTCATGCGTCTCCTACACTGTTCAATGCTGGGACTCCCCAGCCCCAGCTGGCGTCTTGCTTCCTCGTCGATATGAAGGAGGATAGCATTGAAGGTATCTACGACACTCTCAAGACTTGTGCCATGATCTCGAAGACCGCCGGTGGTATCGGTCTTAACGTTCACCGCATCCGTGCCACAGGCTCCTACATTGGTGGCACCAACGGTTCTTCTAACGGTATTGTTCCCATGCTTCGCGTGTTCAACAACACTGCCAGATATGTCGACCAGGGAGGAAACAAGCGCCCTGGCGCTTTCGCTATTTACCTCGAGCCTTGGCACGCCGATGTCTTTGAGTTCTTGGATCTTCGCAAGAATCACGGTAAGGAGGAAGTCAGAGCCCGTGATCTGTTCTACGCTCTGTGGACCCCTGATCTGTTCATGAAGCGAGTTGAGTCCAACGGCGACTGGACTCTGTTCTGTCCCAATGAAGCCCCTGGCCTGGCTGATGTTTATGGCGACGAGTTTGATGCCCTTTATGAACGGTGAGTTTGCGCTGTGGCCACCAGCCATTTGGTTATGTACTGACTGTGGAATAGATACGAGAAGGAAGGCCGTGGCCGTAAGACCATCAAGGCTCAAAAGCTCTGGTATGCTATTCTTGAGGCTCAGACCGAGACTGGCAACCCCTTTATGCTTTACAAGGATGCCTGCAACAAGAAGAGCAACCAGAAGAACCTGGGAACTATTCGCAGCTCCAATCTTTGCACGGAGATCATTGAGTACAGTGCTCCTGACGAAGTTGCTGTCTGCAACCTGGCTTCTCTCGCGCTTCCTACCTTCGTCGACGCCGCCCGTGGAGAATATGACTTCGGCAAGCTGCACGAGGTTGTGCAAGTCTTGGTTCGCAACTTGAACAAGATTATCGACATCAACTATTACCCTGTTCCCGAGGCCAAGAAGAGCAACATGCGCCATCGCCCCATTGCTCTTGGTGTCAATGGTCTGGCCGATGCCTTCCTTGCCCTGCGTCTGCCATTCGACTCTGCCGAGGCCAGACAGCTAAACATCCAGATCTTTGAGACCATCTATCACGGTGCTCTGACTGCTTCTTGTGAGCTGGCCAAGGAGTTTGGTCCTTATGAGACCTACGAGGGCTCTCCCGTCTCTCAAGGTATCCTCCAGTATGACATGTGGGACAGAACCCCCACGGACCTCTGGGACTGGGATGCTCTGAAGGCGAAGATTGCCCAGAACGGTGTGCGCAACAGTTTGTTGGTGGCACCAATGCCCACTGCAAGCACCAGCCAGATTCTGGGCTTCAACGAATGTTTCGAGCCTTACACCTCGAACATCTACTCTCGCCGTGTTCTTGCTGGTGAGTTCCAGGTCGTCAACCCGTGGCTTCTCAAGGATCTTGTCGACCTTGGCCTGTGGTCGGACAACATGAAGAACCGTATCATCGCGGATGGTGGTTCCGTTCAGAACATTCCCAATATTCCCGCCGACATTAAGGCTCTCTACAAGACCGTGTGGGAAATCTCCCAGCGTGCCATCCTGCAAATGGCCGCCGACCGTGGTGCTTTCATTGACCAGTCTCAATCTCTGAACATTCACCTGAAGGAGCCTACCATGGGCAAGCTCACCAGTATGCACTTTGCTGGATGGAAGATGGGTCTGAAGACTGGCATGTACTACCTGCGTACCATGGCTGCCTCCGCTCCCATTCAGTTTACTGTTGATCAGGAGCAACTCAAGGTTGCCGACACCAACGTTGCTCGGGCCAACGCTGCCTACAAGAAGAGAGCCGCTGGGTCCGTCTCCACCACATACTCTGCTATTCCTCGTACAGCGAGCGCTCCGCTCAATGGTCACAGCGAGGACGGCAGCCCGCGAGCTCTTGCCGCCGATGCCACCGCAGATAGTGAACCCGTTGTGAACGGCTCCCAGGAGGAAGATGATGAGCAGGGGAGCGGCGAGCGTGAGAGCGACATCTACTCTCAAAAGGTCCTTCAGTGCAGCATCGAGAACAAGGAGGCTTGTCTGATGTGCCAAGGTTAGTCGGAGTGGTTTATGGTAATTGATTGCAGGCGCTTGAGGCGCTTCTATTTGATACAGTTTCTGATGTATTTATATTATGAGCTTGATGGTCTTTTCTTATGTTCGCTTTTCTCTGGCAATACTGGCAACTCT